TCCTCGAACAGATAGCGACACATTGAAATTTGGACCATTTAACGCGTGCATAGGTATATTAGGTATATAACTGAATTTTCGCGTTAAAATTCGATTTAAATATTCGCGGTTGGTATTTTCTAAAAGGAAATAAACCCATAAAGAGCGTCTAAAAAAGCGACAGAGCACCTTGGTGTGACTCCACGGAGTGATTGGATTTGACCCATTTTCAATTGGCTTGTTACATTGTGGTATGTACGTTAACTGTGCAAAGTTTGAACCAAATCGGTCCAAGCGTTTGACCGTTATCGTGTTCACGGACAGACGGACATACAGACACCATCGACTCCCCTATAAAGCTTGTATCGCTTTGCTCTGCCGCTTAATAAGGTAGCGGCCCGAATGTATATTTCCACGAAGACGGCACTGATTGGCACGAAAGAAATCAAAGATTGCGCTTTGTTTCGTCCGCGTGGAACTGGTGTCTTTTTCTTCTTTGTTCTACATTCAAATGGGCCATAATTTACAATAAAAATGCCAAACATAACGCTATACGAGTGAAGTTAATGATCCATATTGATTCGACGACTCAGAGCGCGTGGATATTAATCATTTTCGACTACGGTTTGCTAGCTTAAGGCTGGACAGTACACCTGTTCCGTTGTCCGAAAACGCTTGATTTCGTTCCACGATATCTGCATTCTGAGCGAAGATGAAGAAGTCGAATATTCCTGTGAAAGGTGAATGCTTGAGCTAGACAATAACGCCGGGGTTTACTAAAATGTTTTAAAATAATCTTTAAACGTCGAGAGGGCTGTTAGGGTGCCATATTTTGGAAAATTTGGAAATTGTTCCAACTTCATTTATAGATAAGTTATCTTGGAAAAACAACTTAAAAGTTTTCCTCAAAAGCGCGGAGAGATAGCTTCCGCCGCGTCGCTTGGAGTATACAGATAGAAAATGTGTATTATAATTATAATTGGTCTAAGTTTGTTTCTGCCATCAATCACAAATTAATATTATAAATGGCCAAATTTGGCGATTGACAATAGGCAACTTTACATACTCCGTACTGTATGTACTGTCCAGCCAGGGGAATTTTGGGAAGATGTATGTGAGCTTTGGTTATTAAGAGCAATTGTAATTTTATGTTTCGAATAGTTACTGTGGGTGTTTCAATAAATTACTCAGGTGATGTATTTCTTTTGTTTTTCGTTATTGCATCCATCCAGTAATTATATGATTGTGTTAGATTATTATTTGCCAAATTCACGGCAAGACTGCTAGTGCAGCATGGAGCTACCAAATTACAAATACAGATTACTCTTTTATCATGGTACTAAAATTGCAATGTGTTTTTCTACGCAAATATGTTGATTTTCCAATTTACAGTATCACTGTAGGTAACGTATGCTTTCTTAGAGATTATATTCAACCCGATGATATAAATATAAATAATAAATTTTATAGCAATTCGTTGATGGTTGCTGTATTTGGGGTATCGACATTAAATTGTTAATTTATAATTGAATTTCTTGCAGCATATTTAATTTCTTTTGTAGGTCCAATATTTTACTGTTTATTTACATCAGGGTGTATAATCTGGGGGCGAGTTACCTACATTAGATCAAGATTGTTACATATATTGCGCTTGGCACTGCGAATTAATAACTTTTTTTCTGAAACTACTTTAGAAACAACACTTTCGTCTTTAAAAAGGGTGAAGAAAGTGCGATTTTTCTCTCTAGCGAGGAAAGTAAAAAACAATTGCTATTGACATTTAAAATTGAAACATTCCCATATCTAGGTTGCTAATTCCTAATTGGCAACTTCCATTATTGCATACGAATATTTTTAGCGCATTTTTTAAGAATTAAAAAAATGTGCTATTGTTTGCGTCTTGTCCGTCCGTCCGTCCGGACCCAATTCTGCCGTTTCGAACTACTTTTAGGGGAATGGTCCTAGAGTCCTGGAATTTTTTGCAGTAGGTAACGGTAACCTATACCTTGACGGTGTGCCAGACAGCCATCAAATTTCGCTGTCTAAAGAGGAGCCCCCCCCCCACGAATTATTTCCTGAGATGCTGTTTTTGAAAGTAAAACGTGCATAACTTTTACATACGACAACCAATTGGTTGTTGGCTTGCATTTCAGGTAAAAGTGGCAAAGTGCCACCTGACATACGCAGAGATATACTTAAAATGTAAATGTAAATGTATTATATTCATAACAAATCAATATTCACTAGATTCAGATCATGACGAAGCATAAACATGGCGACAATTTTTACAAGAAGTAAACAATCCCAGAGGAAGAAAATAAGAAGAATAAGGGAGCTTTACTAAAGTATTTTGAGTCGACCACCCAAAGAGCCGAATCTGAACGTGATACAGAAGATAGTACTAGTGTCACTCCAAATCAGAAAGCTGTTCCGTCTTCTAGTGGCGGACGTGGCGAACTTGAAGATTTACCTAATGAACCAAGCGTTAGTAGTTGAGCAACCGGATTTGCTGGTGGAAGAGGGAACCTCGAACGGATTGATACTCTTGACGGTCATGATGAACATATCATAGTATTTCACTACTGTGTTCGACAGTACGCCAGATTTCTCACACAAGCACTACATGATCCAAATACTGCGTTATGTAAGACTCGATAGCACCAAGGTGCAAGTGATCATTCATTGACTTTCTTGAAAGTAAGTGCAAAAATGCAAAAGATATCACTATAATGATTTTGTACAAAATGGAAAGCGATGAACTGGATATCCAAAATTGCCATGGACAGGCATGATGCAGCTGTCATGATGCCCAGTTTGTTGCATGCACTTAATCATTTATTAAATCTAGTACGTATGTAGGCAGCATCCATCGCAGTAAACTCAATGACGTTCTTTGGTACTATATGGAGAGGGTTTTCAATTACTTTTCATCTTCTCCCCGCCGGTAGAAAACTCTTACCCGCCGGCGCCGGTAGAAAACTCTTACCGGCCAACGTTACAGGTCAATTGAAACACGATGTGTTGATAGTCCATACCGCCGACTAGAGACACTACGCCGACGGACCCACGTACGCCGACAATGGACCTCATCGTCGTAAACCGTTCTGATAAATTTAAAAATTTGTAAATCTCTCTACAACGGCGGAATTTTGTGCTTTTAGATTTTTTAAATTTCAAATAAAAAAGTTGGATGCGGTTTGAAAGTTAAAACGTTAACGTTACATCGACATGGACACCAAATTTTTGAATTTTTGAATAATTAAATAACGATCAAACAACAAACGTGAATATCGGGGGCAAACTTCACGCCCAAAACTTACAAAATTTATTCTGAAGATGCTATCAGCCAACAAACGGTAAAGAATACCCAACATATACAAACAAACGACCAACAACCGATTACAACTAACAAAAATGAAATATTGCAACTTCGGGGGAGGGGGGGGCTCACTATACTCCCAAATTTTTGAATTGTGAATAATTAAATAACGATCAACCAAAAAAGTGAAAATGTAACTTACAAACACCAACAAACGACCAACCAACGATTGCAATTAAAATATTTTGAAAATTCAAAAAACTAACTATACGCCCAAATTTTGAAATGTGAATAATTAAATAACGGTCAACCGACAAACGTCAAAATGTAACAACAAACGACCAACAAAGGATTGCAATAAAAATATTCTGATAATTCCAAGCTACCTAATTAAATTCACATGACTTCACAAGTTGGTACCAGCAAATGCGTAGGTACTTTCTGGGAAATATTCCGTAGCCTAAGTAGGTATTCTCTCATGTTCCAATACATTATAAATAATAATGAAGGTTAGCACTTTCTCAGATCAAGTTGCGAAATAAAGTATTTAACATGTCTTTACATAGCAGTTTTTTGAATTTATATTTTGGCAGTTTAAATTAGGTACTCCCACAATCTAAATCCTAAAAAGTACTTGTTAGTTTACCTCTGCACCTACAAGTTCCACGTTATAATAAGGATTTGGAACCTGTAGTTTATTTTCCGTTCCAGTAGTTGTTGGTTACAGGTACGTAATGATTTGGCGATCTAGGTAGGTACATTATTGTTTGATCCTGTCGTAGTACAATTTTTTTTCGTATTTCTCATGAAAATATTCTCTTACCGCTGCTCTCGTACTAATCTAGGTAACAAGCTTAATTCTAAGAGTTTTCATGTAATGTTCCCATGAACCTGTAACTTTCGACTCGAATCTTATCAAACTTATCCTTGATCGTACCTATATCACGATTAAACATTTTTCTGAGAATTTCAATATTGTAGCTTCACTAGTAATGTCTTTAGTAAAATGAATATGTATTGGGTCATACAAAATTAACATGGATGTTTGTGAAACTTCCCAAGGGTGAACTTCGACATCTTTTTTACATTTTTTGCGCAATTCCACAAACGTAAAAAAATGCGCTATTGTGGCCACTCTGTCCGTGCGTCCTTTCGTCTGGACGCTACTAGTTCTTTATCTTAAGAGCTACTGTTTTACTTTTGTCGACATTTAGTTCGTTATGGTGTCGAGGCTTGTACCAAACCAAGAAAGGAATTTTCTGTGCCCTTTAAGAAAAAAGATATGGCAAAAAATCTATTTTTTGCATGTACCATAATATAATAATATAATAATAACTTTTGCCGTTTATTGAGGATCCTCGAGATCGTTTATTATGTTGTATCGCCGTCTACCCGTCTGTCTGTCTCCGTCTGTCTGTCCGTCCGCCAATTTCTTATCTGTTACGATATTTAAATGAAATTTTGTATGTAGGCACCTCGAATGAAGATAAAACTAATGCCAAATCAAATAAAAACATTCCGCCATTTTTAGCGTTACCGATTTGGATGAAATTCGGAATATTGTAACGGTTTATTATCTTCATTAGAAGCATTATTATTGTTCACGGTATATTTTGTTGAATGATTCTCGTTACTTTTGAATAGATGGCATGGCTCCATCTATTGTTGGAATTTTAACCACGCCATATTACCGCGCATTTTGTGGCATTGCGATTTGTGGTTATCGATTGCCCACATTCAGTTTCCTTTTTCTTTTGTGAGCCGTATCAAAGTGCCCTTCGTTTGAACCAACAGCTGCGGCGTTAGTTGAGAACGCATGGAACTTTAATTGCTATCATCCATATTTTATTAATCTCTGGCAATTAGTGAACGGATTCGCAAACGCATATATCTATAAAAAAACTCATCCCTTAACTCAGTATTATCTTTTTTTTTTAGTGGGAGAACAACGTACCTATTTGTAAAATTTCCTCAATTTCATTGATGAATGACTGGATTTACCTTGTACACTCTCCTGGCTTTCGTGTATACCTTTTGCAAATGCCCCTTTAATTTACAAAATGTATCATATAAACCTGTACCTGCACCTGTAGCATTTATAGTCTTTGTAATCATTTTCCTGTTTGAATTTGTGAATGTTTAGTGATTTCTAGTAGCTTCAACATGATTATCTTTGTAATTAAAATTTATCTTTAAATTATTATAAAATATAGTCCTCTTTGTAGTTGGTGGGCATCTATTTCATTCAGTTACATTCCTCTCTAAATCTCCCCAGCCTTTTCCAGGTCCAGATTCCTAGTTTTGTCCTACTTTGTATCTTCTTGGAGCTTAATCCATAGACTATTTTCAGAAAACTCCCAAAATTACAGTTTATTACCAATTTTTGTAGTCCATGTAAATACCTACTCTGTATTGTCTCTCTATCCTGTTGCTTCCTCGAATGAGACCGAAATGCTTCAGTAATTATTTCCAATGGTGCGAGATTGTAATATTGATAGATTAAATTAATAATCTGCTCGTATTCCATTTCTTCTGGTAATGCGGGCGCCACTTGGTTACACAGTGACACAACGACTCGTAACCCATGTAATGAAATATAGGTAGTATCATTGAATTTAAAAGTTATAAATTCAATGGCAGTATGTCTTCATATTGTCTGCGTGCAAAAAACTCCCTAAAACACTAAATCCTGGCAAATAATAGTATATTATTCAACGAGTGAGAAAGTTGGCAATTATTCACGAAGATAAGATTTGCGCCACGAGTCGAAGACGAGTGGCGTAAATTATCTGAGTGAATAATGCCTTTCTCACGAGTTAAATACTATACTTTTTCTACTTGTATTCAATAATTACAGTAATAATAACATTATCCATAATGGTTTTATTATGTCATCAAACAATTGACAAAATCAGCAATGTACGTAAAATACGGAGACGTTAGAATTATATCGTCGCCACTGCTCATCATAATTGCACTACTGTCCATTTTCACGTAATTTTCACAAAACTGATTTCTCGTAATTTGTTTGATTGACATTAATGTTTGACAACTGAATTTATCGCGATCCGAGATCTTGATTTTTGCTACACACGTTTCCAAGGCAACCCTACAATGTGACCTGAAGAGTAATGACAAACTCGGAATACGATTGGCTGACAACAGTTGAATAATGAAAACACATTGAATAATAGATAACTTTCACAATTAAAAACGCATCAGTATTCTACCTATTATTTAATATGAGTAGAAAAAGAAATATAAAATACAGATGTCTATTAGTTATTTTTAATCATATTAATGATTTGTGTTCTTATTTAGATCACTGTTAGGTTACACTTAATGATCTCCTCTACAATGTTATCGCCCTCAATGCAAGAAAAAGAAGGAAAACCTACTCCTCAATACGGAGAGACAGTGAAAGCATCTGGAAAAGAAAATAAAGTAGTGTGGAGGAACGTAATTCTGTTTACATTGCTACATATTAGTGGACTTTACGGTCTTTACCTATGTTTCTTTTTGCGTTCGTGGTACACTTTTTTTTGGGGTAAGTGGTAAGGTTTATTGTTGCATGCTAGAATATCTACTCTTTACATTCTTGTTTTGTTTTAGCGACTTTGATTGGTCTCATATCAGGACAAGGAATAACAGCCGGTGCACATAGGCTATGGGCTCACCGAACCTACAAGGCTAGACTGATGTTAAGAATCACTTTGATGATTGCGCAAACTCTAGCGCTACAAACCTACATCTATGAATGGGTTCGGGATCACAGAGCTCATCACAAGTTTACGGAAACTGATGCCGATCCGCATAACTCCAATCGTGGATTCTTCTTTTCGCATATTGGTTGGTTAATGGTGAAACGTCATTCAGAGGTTAAACGAAAGGGAAAGACGATAGATATGAGCGACCTGGAAGCAGATCCAGTTGTTCGATTTCAGAGAAAGTAAGTAGAATATGATATACAATTTGGCGCCCCCCTTTGTACATACTTAAGTCAATTTTTTAATAAAATATATTCGATAGTTTCACACGACATGGCCACATTTTAGAGCGACCCACAATGTGGAGAGAATTGTGTCCTCTATTCTATCCTCCTTCATCACACTTCTTCGGTTTCGACCCAACTTCGCGCTCACAATATCGAGTTTTGTTTTTTGAAAACGTCGTTCAACGGTCCTTATGTGCAAGTGCGCTCTCGACGCATGTTTCGCAACGACTGCCTCGGTCAATATTTCATGGAAGTCAGAATTGAGTAAAAACAGAATTGGAAGGGTGTTATGATTTATTCATTAACAGTAATATCAAATTGGTCTGTTCACATCGGTTTGTGCCCACCCCCACACTGCACCACATACTAATGGTGAGAAATTGAAAGACTTAGTGGTCTCCATATAGCTCACCCACCGTACTCTTGTGAATGTTCCCTTTACAGTATCCGCAGAAAAGATATTTAAGCTGTAGATTTGGATATCTGGCAGAACAAAACTAATTTTATGTTAAAGTAACTGCCACGTCTTCAAAGCGGTGCCTGCCATTCCGGAAATGTACATCCCGACGGCGTTCATCGTGGCACCACCGTCCCGGCGTTCATTACTATCGTTGAGTAAAGGATTTAATTATTCAATGTTACTATGCCGGCATTGGGTATCTCGACGATATTTTTATGCCCGTGGGGACTATTGTTTTTTCGGCATCGGAAATGTTTGTAATAACGAAGAAGTGAAGTTATTACTCATTATCATTCTCCCAAATACTGTTCGCGCCGATTTCTGCAGTTTATATATTTTAATTTGTATTGTGTGTTGCATAATCGGCCACTTTGGCATTGGCGCCTATATCGTGAGTTATTTAGTAACCTACAGATGATGAACTAACAAATACTACAGCAGTCATCTGTAAGCTTAAATAAACTAACCAAATATAGAAAACGAGCTCCTGAGTATGGCTATGTATGTGCAAAACCAAATTTTAAACCTGATGTTACTTTTGCTTTTATTTAAAGTGTACATGTATGAAATTTCATTTAATTGCTTCCATAAATAAGAAAGTTGGCACTGCACATCCTGCACAAAAGCAAATTTGGAAAATGGCGCTAGATTTACTTTTATTCCAAGTGGCTATGTATCAAATTTCATTTGAACGCCTCCATAAATAAGAAAGTTGGCACTGCGCATGCGCAAAACCAAATTTAGAAAATGGGGCTACATTTGCTTTTATTCCAAGTGACTATGCATCAAATTTCATTTAAATACCTTCATGCAATCTGGTTTGTAAATGGTCGAGATGCGAAAAGGGCACTGTGAATGTTGATCGATTAGGCTCAATTTTTGGAATAGCGTTTTATATGGCTAAACCTATACGCATATTGAATTTCATACAATTCGGTTCATAACTCACCGAGATGTCAAAAGGGCCTTCCTTATTTTTTGGACTACATTGCCAATTCACGAATTCCGATCTACAAATTTGATAAAGAATCCACCTACAAAATTTCATCCTAATCGGTCCATTTGTTTATGAGTTATCGTGCTAACGGACGGACAGACATAACAAAATTATAAACTCGCTAGGAGCCGCGTTAATAAACTGTTCTCATATTATTGATTCCATATTTTCCATTTCAAAATTTAATTGCAACCCTTTTTTAATTAAAAATGGATACGGTATGTTCCAATTGCAAGAAATGGTCAATTTTCAGTTCAATAACGTAACAAAATTGTACATCGAAAAAAAGTGAGGTTGTTTATTAAGAATCAAAAACATTCACCTTTTCGCCAAGACAACAAAACGCAAGAGTTTAAATTACCGGTATGACTGAAACCGGGATGTAAATAGTGGTCGGAACCGCTTAACTCTAGAAACCGGTACCGGGATGGGAATCGCCGGTATGACCGTGGCAGAACCCAAGAACTCTAACTAATAGTATCAAATTATCCATCTATACAAAAATAAAGGTGCAAAGGTGCTGTTCCCTACACTTATAAACCTCTACCGTCAGCTTCACTAAGATACTATACCTTTTAAAGGAACTAATAAACTATTGCGTTTACCACTGTTTCTTTTCAGGTACTACATAATATTAGTTACCGTCTTGTGCCTATTCATTCCGACATTTGTGCCATGGTATTTCTGGAATGAGGACATTTGGGTCTCTTGGTTCACAACAACAATGTTTCGGCTTTGTGTATCTTTACACATTACATTTATGATCAACAGTGTGGCTCACATATGGGGAACTAAACCATACGATAAGTAAGTAACGTAAGTTTCCTACATTGTTTAGAATAGGTACTGGACCTCATTTTTGCATGAGACGAGCGATTACTTACTTACTGTTTTTCCAGAACGTCTGGAGCTGTTGAAAATGTGCCCCTAGCCTTTCTCGCACATGGTGAAGGTTGGCACAACTATCACCATGTATTTCCTTGGGATTATAAAACTGGGGAATTGGGTGGTTATCGCTTAAATACAACAACTATGCTAATCGACTTTTTCGCAAAAATTGGATGGGCGTACGATTTGAAGACGGTATCGATTGAGACTATAGAAAAAAGAGCGCAGCGTACGGGTGATGGATCGAGGATCGCTGTTACCAAATGTGCTGTAGACAATGTAGACAATCACCATACAAATGTTTGGGGGTGGGGCGATACAGATATGAAAGAGCAAGATATAGATGATGTAAAGTACCACAACCAGCTGAAAGAAGATTAACCACATTTATTATGATATTTCATAATACCCAGAAACGTACCATCAAACCAGGCGTTTGTCTTTGTTATGTTTCTTCAAAAGATAGTAGTTATTTTGTTCGTGTCACGAGATTCATCTTGGTTACTCAAATTTTCTCTCTCTCTCAGCATATTGCAAAAAATATTTCACTTCTATGTTGTTAGTTTGTACCATGGTGTAAGGGATTGCCGCTAAGTGTTTTAATGCAATACGTAGTTTATATCAATTTTACAATTTAATTTCATACTTGGAATGTTGGAATTAGTATTTAAAATATGCCTTCTTCTATGTAAGACTGTATCTAATTTGGCACATCAAATAGAAATTTGGTACTCTTAGAGAATTTAGAACAGTTCTATAGAACGATAATGGAATTGTTTCAATTGTCTCAATTGTTTCAATTTCAACTGAGAGCTTCCTTTGGAATTACGGTGGCAATTATAACGAGTCGACTCCGACGGCAGCTTTGGAGACCCTCTTGAACTCATCAAGGGTGGCGCATTCGCTCATCTTTGATGAAATCTCTAAAGATAAAATCCTCAGTATGATAACTGAGAGGATAACTAAAACAGTTTGTTTTACAAAACTGTTTCCCTGCTCGATACGACTGGGAGGACAATTCCAATAACGTAAAGCTGAATGGAATCGTGTATTACACAGATGGCTTGAAAACTACGGAGAGTACTGGCTGCGGAGTGTTCGGAAGAAATGAACAGGGCTGCAGAATCTCTGTACGCCTAGGACAAAAAGCAACCGTGCTCTAAACCGAGGTATCTTTAGAGTTACAGACAGCTCGGAACGCACCACTTTGTTGCGATGTTGAACTATGAAAATCGCGTAGTATTTGGCGCCAATGAAATGCAATAGTTTCACCTTCAGTAACTTTAACTGCGTTTTGTTGCATTTACGTGTGAGAAATAACCTGAACCTGAAACAGAATAAACTTAACTTTCTTCCACAAATACAATGCGTTTAACGGTTTTCCAAAGCAACTTGGAGGATAGATCAAGGCTCTGGGCAACGGGGCCCAACAGCGGATCCAACGATTATCTTAAAAATCTGGCAGTGGCGCAAACATAATACCGTTATGATAATAAGTGCAGCTGAAAATGATTCTAATCTAAAACTAGGGAATTATCATGTGATTTTCATTAATTATTTCTTTCCATATGCTTATTTCACCTACACCAGAGCTGGGCAGTATTCGATTTTGTCAATACTTTTTAGTATTCAAATACTTTGTAATTAAATACTTTTATGGAAGCAGTATTTGTATTTGTAACTCAAATACTTTCACAAATATTTAGTATTCGAATACTTAGCAAAGTATTTGGATACTTCGTAAAGTATTCGAATACTTCGCAAGGTACTTTGAGAAGTATTCAAATACTTCGCACAGTATTTGAATACTTAACCTTCCTTTTTCACCAAAAATCGACTGCACCAAAATTTCTCGGGAAAACACTTTTTCTTATTAATTTTGGTGCGTAGAATCCAAAACAATTCGTACTTTTTCGATCAGACTTCTCAATCAAAAGTTATAGACTAGAAACCAATTTCGAAAAAAAATTCAAAGGGCTGTAACTTTTGAACTAGTAGCCCAATCTTGGAACTGTTTGAAATTATGGATTCTACAGGCCACATTCTATAAGAAATTTTTTTCCGGGGTCGATCTGAGACAATTTTTTTTTCGGGCCTCAAAAAAAGGCAGTGTATAACCTTCCTTTTTTACCAAAAATCGACTCCACCAAAATTTCTCGGGAAAACACTTTTTCTTATTAATTTTGGTGCGTAGAATCCAAAACAATTCGTACTTTTTCGATCAGACTTCTCAATCAAAAGTTATAGACTAGAAACCAATTTCGAAAGAAAATTCAAAGGGCTGTAACTTTTGAACTAGTAGCCCAATCTTGGAACTGTTTGAAATTATGGATTCTACAGGCCACATTCTATAAGAAATTTTTTTTTCCGGGTCGATCCGAGACAATTTTTTTTCCGGCCTCAAAAAAAGGCAGTACTTTTAAGTTATTCAAATATTTGAGAACAATTTAGAAATGTTTAGGGAAAGTTTCCATTGTCACAAAATCAAATATAAAAATCCGATACAACTGAATACCGAACGATACTGGAGTGAAACTTTTTGACTCGATAGTCTACATAACTTAAAAACAATAGGGACCTTTCTTATATCCTTAAGACCATGTGTACCAATTTTCAAAGCGATCGCACGTTTCTAAACAAACTATCATGCACACGGACAAACGGATGGTCAAAAAGGATCTGTTCCAAAATCGCTAGGATTAATTTCAGAAAGGCGTACGTATCATGTGCACGACGTACGATCGCTTTGAAAACTGGTACACGTATTCTTAAGGATATAACTGGTTTAAGAAAGGTCCTGGTAGGTACCTCCTATATAATAATATAATAATATAATAATAATAATAATAATACGCTTTTACTCCCCTTAAATTTGTATATAACAATAGAAATATAAAAAAAGCTAACCCCATACAAAGTATAACTTGATTTTTAAGTAGTATTAAGACTTTTATCTAGTATACTATTTTAAATTTTTAATGTATTTGAGTGACAAGTATTTGAATACTTTTTACTGTATTCGAATACTTTTCAAAGTATTCGAATACTTTTTATAGTATTCGAATACCTTTGATAGTATTAGAATACTTTTGAAAGTATTCGAATACTTTTGAAAGTATTCGAATACATTCTAAAGTATTTGAATACTTATTTTTTAAAGTATTTGAATACTTTTCAATGTATCTGTATCTAGTATTCGCTTGTGCTGGACGTAAAAGTATTTAGTATTCAAATACCTTTGATTTGTGTAAAGTATTTACTATTTACTATTGAAATACTTTTTGAAAGTATTCTGCCCAGCTCTGATCTACACCTCGTCCGACTTTAAAGTCTTGTGTGGCACATCAAATGCCAGCTGTGAAATCTTATTCATATTTGTAAATAAAACATAAATGACATTCAGCTTTATTGTTTTATCTTTGAATATAAAATCAAATGTTTTAACGATATGGACAACGCACTCTTTACTCTCAGAGCAATATTGTCATGGTACATAAGAAAGAAACAGAACATTATAACAACTGATCAAAATAACGTTTTCGCCCATGTAATGATGCAATCTGCTCTGAAATTGATCTCTTTGCCGTGGAAAACCGAAACAGAACATTTACTGTTTCCCTTTTTCTTCGTGAAGATTTCGTAGCAAAGATTTGCAGATGATGGATATCAAATGACACCATAGGACAAAATCATGTAGTAGAGAAATCATCTGCTTTAACTGTTCATTGATCAACATTCGTCATTCAACAAGCAACTTGTATGCTAAATGCAAAAATGATAACACTTTCAACTCTTTCGTCATTAATGTACACTATTTTTAATAAAGAAGAAACAAAGAAACATCATAAGTGTCTAAGTGGAAATTATAAAAGCACTAAACCTTCCCCATACTTCATTTAATTGTTTCAGATTTTAAATTCAGACATTATGTGACAGCACAGCGACTATAGTTTCGACCCTGAGGTCATTATCAAGCTTCAGTTTGAAGGAACATATAAATAAAAACTATAGTCGCTGTGCTGTCACATAATGTCTGAATTTAAAATCTGAAACAATTAAATGAAGTATGGGGAAGGTTTAGTGCTTTTATAATTTCCACTTAGTCAATTTCACCCCGTTTTGAGTCGTTATAAGATGGATAGCTACCAATTAATCATAAGTGTCGTTGACTTTGTTACGCCTTTTGAAATTTTTTCTTAGATCTATTAATAATTCTGGGCCAAATTCAGTAGGTAAATAAAACTTCGTCCACATCTTCAATACGGTATGTCAACCTATCTACAGAAATCATTGGTAATTTTCAAGATGCAGTTCTCTCGGTGGTAATATGTTTAATGATAACCTAATAACAAATTTAAATCCCGGTGGATCGCTTTAGATATGCTACTAGTATGCTACCCTGTACTTATGTCGCTGTAGTTTGCGGTATCCGGTCAACCACAATTAGACAATGACAGTTTACCCTGTTAGCAAAATTCAAATTTATTAAAAAACAACATCATTCCAAGAATTGGTAATTATAATTGCTTGTGAATTATTCATCAATGTCAATCATACTTAATTTACACATAAAAGCTATTTGTGTGGCACGATTTGCCCTAGTGACTCTACGCTAAACAGAAACGTAGAATTATGACATGTAATACCACTAGTGCTTGAATTATTTCCGGAAATTTGTTCGAGCTCACGAATATTTTGAAAATATTCGTGAGCAAGAACAAATTTGTAAAATAATTCAAGCACGTGTAGTATTCGGTATGAAAATTTCACACCATATTGAACCTCAACGAAATTTGTTCTCTCTTTGAAAGTAGATCAAGATAGCCTTTGGATGACATTTTACAGATTTGAATTGAAATTGCCTTTGACAGTAAGTTTAGTGTGAGTGTGAACGTAATGATTCAATTCGATCAAGAAAATACAGAAGCTATTCCTAGCGAAATTCAGCACCTAACGCCCCAGAATAGGTACTAAGGAATCCAAGTCAAGTATTTGGAAGCAGTTTACTGACTTTTACTTTGAAAAAAGTTATGAATTCGATAGGGAAAACATAATTATCTGTGAAGGAATTGGCAATGATTATGGATTTAATATCTACCCCAATTCTGCTAGAATATTTTCTTATAACGCGGACAAGTGAGGTTTTATGTCAAAACGTTCTCTTATGACGTCAAAAAATTTCCACTGTAATTCGCTCTAGGTTACCCCTGCAGGTAAAAATTTCCGATAAATACCTCGGTTACCATGATAACGTGAGACGAAATCTGCATTTCATTGGTCGAAAATGGTGGGTGTGAAATTTTCTTAAGTAATTGCACAAGTGGGACAAAATTACCGATAATTTTTTTGAACGCATGTTGTCTAAAAACTGCATGAGTTTATTTTCATATTTTGGCGAAAGAGCCCGACACCGAAAATGACCGAATACGGTTTTTTACTGACAACATGCTTGAATAAAAAATTATCAGGTTTATTTTGATGCACGAGTGTAATTTGGTGGACTATTCAATTCATCTAACATTTGTCACATTTCAACCAGTGAAATGTCTCGATTTCAAATTGCTGCGCCAATGGGAACGAATTATAGTGATAATTCAGCGATAATTTCACGTGTGGTATTTCAGCGACAATTCAACTCATGTATAAAAAATCGCATAAGCCGCAGTGAAATTGTCACTTTGACAGCGGCAAAAGTTACTTGCAACTTTTCCAGCGACAAATGCACTAGTGGTTTTTTCACTTATTCATTTTCGAACCAATTATCGCAT